ATCGACTCCCCCCAGCTGAGCACCCGCACAGTGCAGGCGCCTGAAGGCGAAGGGGGCGCCGCGATACAGTGGAATAGGGCCCCAAAAAAGCACATAAGCAAAAATTAGGATAGGGATATCCCATATAAACCCCCTTATCATGAAGCCCAATAAGGTAGGGATATCCCTATAAAATGCTTATGCTTATGTGCTTTTGGGGTTCTTAAATGATCGACCTAGCGGCCAGAACCTCATGTGCCCGGTGCACGGGTCTAGCTCAAGCCTGAGGAACCTTGAAAGACCGTAAAAAATCCTGCATTACAAGACTGCCGGAACCCTAAACCCTAAACCCTAAACCCTAAACCCTAAACCCTAAACCCTAAACCCTAAACCTGAAGTGTCAGAGATTCACAAGCCGTACAATCTGACAAACAAGCTACAAATCGTGAAATGCAAGGACCAACCTCTACAACAAAGCAGTACTGGAAGCCACAAAAGAAAAGCCAAGCAAAGGCATGGTCCCTGACGCAGAAACCTGACAACTAGCCCACCACCTTCACGAAGAACAACCTATTTAGGGTTTAGGGTTTAGGGTTAAGAGGAGGGAATTCATACCCCAAAGCTGCTTTGCTGCAATTGCTCGAAGCCCGCAACGATAAATCCTGAATCTCAGAAGCTCTATAAATCTCCTAGCATGCTGGCAAAGCGCCCGTGAAACCCATCAAAACCCCCAACTCTACACCCTGAACCCCAAACCCCAAACCCTGAACACTAAACCCTGAACCCTAAACCCCCAAAACCCTAAACCCTGCACCCTAAACCCTGAACCCTGAACCCCAAACCCGAAAACCTAAGCCTTGACTCTGGAATGCTGCTCCGAAAAGATCTCTTGCCGCTTCATGGCCCCTATGGGCTCTAGGGGTTTCAGGCTTTTAGGGTTTAGGGTTTAGGGTGTAGGGGTCGAGGGTTTAGGGGTTTAGAGGTTTAGGGTGTAGGGGTCGAGGGTGTAGGGGCTTAGAGGGTTTAGGGTTTCGGGTCTAGGGTTTAAGGTTTTAGGCAACTTGATGAAAAAACTGTTTGCACCACAAAAAAAACGCCGCGGAAGACTCAACGCAAAGACTATGACCCTTGCCCTAAGGAACCTGCTCAGATCCCATACGGATAGTTCTCTACGATTAGGGTCCCTTTGCGGGAATCTTTAAACAGGGTGCCGTACTATTTGGAGGGTCCCAAAAGGGACCTAATTTAGAGAATTACCCAGATAGTAACCCTGATAGTACCCTTCTAGAGACCCTTTGGAAACCCCTATCGATGAATTTACGGAACCCCTGAAAAAGGGCCCTACTGTTGATGGTTGAAATCTCGCAGTACCTTAAGGACCCTAAACTATTGGAATTTTGGCATATTCCTCATTATGGGTGATGCAGGATTTATATCATCAACCGTAGTTTAGAGAACTACCCATATCACCCGGCAATCCTAAACCTTAAACCCAAAACCCAGAACCTTAAACCCGAAATCCCTTAACCCCTAAACGGCCCAAACCCTACATAAACGGCCCAAACCCAAACCCCCCAACACCCTACACCCGAGAAACTATGAGCCAGGACACGGCCGGCTACTGACGACATCCCCGTGGGCGTCGTCGGCCGTGAGTTGGCCTCCTTGCAGTTTAAGGAGTCTTGGGCTAAGGATTTAGGGTATAGGGTTTAGGGATTAGGGTGATTAGGGTTCAGGGGTTCAGGGTTCAGGGTTTAGGGTTTAGACGGATTTGGGGGTTAAGGGTTTAAGTATTAAGGCTCCAAGGAGCCCCGAAAGGAACCCTTAACGCTCCATAGAAGCCCCTCAGCTCTCCATAGAACCCTCCCAACAAGAACCACTGAGAAAGCTCTAAAGCTCTACACCCCAAAGCCCTAAACCCTTTACCCTACAGCCCTAAACCCAAAAGCCCTAAACCCTTAACCCTAAACCCTCAACCCTTAACCCTTAACCCTAAACCCTTAACGCCTTAAAAGGAGCCCTTAGCTCCCTTTACCCTCTCGCCCGCCTTCTCTACGGCAGCCAGATGGACGGCTTCCTGCAAGAGGAAGCGGTTTAGGGTTTAGGGTTTAAGGTTTAGGGTTTAGGGTTTAGGGTTTGGGGTTTGGGAGTCAGGGGTTTAGGGTTCAGGGTTGCTAACCAGGTTTCAGTTGAAGGCTCCTGAACTTGAGCTTTTAGGATTCCTTGTCCAGGTTCCTAAACCCTAAACCCTAAACCCTAAACCCTAAACCCTAAACCCTAAACCCTAAACCCTAAACCCTAAACCCTAAACCCTAAACCCTAAACCATGTCCAGGTTTCCTTTAAGGATTCCTTAGAAGGATTCCTTCAAAAGCTTCCTCGACCTTAACGAATGATTCCGTCAAGGTTTCCTTTAAGGGTTTCTCTAAGGATTCCTTCACAGGATTCCTTTATCGATCTCTTTACGGGCTCGAAATAGGGGCTGCTATGAGGGTTAGTGCGACGATTCTGGCTTCCTGCAAAAGTCCAAGTCCAAGCCCATTTGTTCGGCAAAAGACATCAAAACGGCCAGCTCGAAAGTCGGATGGCCCTGGCTGCAGCACTCAGAAACATCTGCTCGGAGTTTACCAGGGTCCAGCAATCGATCGGCACGAATAGCGCAAACGTTCATCTTTGAGAAAGGGTGACCGCAAATCTAGACGCCAACTTGGTAAGATACTTCCGCGCCAGGGAATCCGGGCTGAAACCTCTTATTTACGACGCCCGAAAGCCAAAATCCTGATCCTCCTCCCACACCCAAATAAATCCGCAAACCCCTAAAACCCTCCCCCAAACCTCCTCTCCATGAGCCCCTAAACGGGTTCCTTAAAGGGTTCCCTTAACGGTTCCCTTAAGGGTTCCTTTAAGGGTTGCTTTAAGGGCCCTATAAGGGTTTAGGGTTTAGGGCTCCTTTAAAAGTTGGTTTAGGGCTCCTTTAGGCTTCAATCATATAGGTACTCTAGGGTCCTAAACCTTAAACCCTGAACCCCAAGCCCTAAACCCTGAACTCTGAACCCTAAACCCTAGACCCTGAACCCTAAACCCTAAACCCTAAACCCCAAACCCCAGAGCGCATGGATCCTTGGAGCCTTCAAGCCCCAGAATGCACGGGCCTTTTTTTGCAGGTCAAGGAGGGCTTTGCAGTTTAGGGTTTAGGGTTTAGGGTTTAGGGTTTTGCGGTAACTATGAGAAGGAACCCAAGTAATACAACATGGCTCTACTCAGGAACCCCCAAAAACAGACTATGATTATAGTAAAGAGAATTTGTAATGGTATCTACTTTAACTAAAACAACCCGGGACTCCAGGACCCATGGTTAATTTCAAGCTGCCAGGTTGGAAGCACGCTGCACGTCCGGCGAGAAGGAGGCATAGAAAGCCTACCATCACTTACAGGACTTTGGCTTAGGCTGTCACGACATGAAACGTTCAAAATTTGTGGGGTTTGACAAAGGGTGGGTTCCTACATCGTAGTTTTCAGGTACATTTCCAGCATATTAACAGTTAGTGCTCTGATGATAGTGGACAAAGGGGTACGAGGACTTCTCGCAACAGCTACCATCACCGAAGGAGTAAATGGCTGAATGATCAAGTGAACGATGCATTGAGCGAGTGGACGAGTTCATGTGGCAACATCATCAGCTGTTCTGGCTCTCGGGTAACAAGGCCAATCTGCTCCGAAAGGAAGGCCGGCATGGACCTGGCTCCTGCTGGAGGCCTCCAAAGCTTTCGTGTTCGCTAAAAAATTTACCCAAAAACCCTGAACCCAAAACCCCAAACCCCAAAAAGGAATCCTGCACAAGTCGGGCCGACTCACGAGCAATTGCATGACTCGACGACCCATATACTGCGACACCCCACTTACCCTAAACACTAAACCAAACAGCCCTAAAGCCTGAAATCCTAGACCTGAAAACCGCTACACCGCCTAAGCCTAAACCCCTAAACCTCCAAACCCTAAACCCCAAACTAAACCCTAAACTAGACCCCTAAACCCTTAACCCCTAAACCTTCAACCCTAAACCCCTAAACCTTAACCCCTAAACCCCCAAACCTTCAACCCTAAACTGCTAAATCTTAACCCCTAAACCCCTAAACCTTAAACCCTAAACCCCCAAACCTTAAACCCTAAACCCTAAAACTTCAACCCCCCCAAAAAAAGGCCAAACCTCCCCGAGGCAGGCCTCGATGGGACCCCCGAGCTGGGCCTCACTCAGAGCATGAGCTCCGGGGCGGAAGGACTTCTTGGAGGACCCCTAAACCCTAAACCCTAAACCCCTAAACCGGGGTTTAGGGTTTAGGGTTTAGGGTTTAGGGTTTAGGGTTTAGGGACTACTTGGAGGATCATAAGATAAGTACGATTCCTGAAGGGGCTCCTTAAAGGGATCTATAGGGTTTCGGGGTTAGGGTCTACTTGGAGGATCATGGGATTTAGCAATTAAGGTTATACGTACCTTAGATGGGTTTATAAGGGGCGGAACGACTAGAATAGGGGTTAACGGTTTAGGGTTTAGGGCATAGGGGTTTAGCGTGTAGGGGTTTAGCAATATACCTTAAATGATAGGGCCTTAATATTATGATTTAAGGTAGACTCCTTAATGAAGGGGTATTGGGTTCTCTGAACGACTACTTGGAGGATCATGGGACTTAGTAAGTAAGGTTATAAGTACCTTCCTTGGGGATACAAGTAGATATAAGTATAGTTAGCTTATCTATAACCCTCGCTACTAAGTCCCATGATCCCGTAAGTAGAATAGGGGTTAAAGATTTATGGTTTAGGAGTTTAGGCTTTGGGGTTCAGGGTATGGGGTTTAGGGTTTAGGATAATGAGTAGTATAGGGTTCGAAGCAGGGCTCTCAGGATAACGGTTTAGCGCCCAGGGCTTTATGATTCGAATAGCATTAGGATTGGTTTGAGCGCCCGAAACCCAAACCCTGAAGCCCTTAACCCATAAACCCATAAACCTTCAACCCTCAACCCTAAACCCTGACTCAACCCTAAACCATCAACCCTAAAGCCTCAACCCTTAACCCTGAAGGCTCTCTCTTCATGTCTTCGACTGGTCTCGTAGGGTGCGGCTTCGGGAAGTGCTGCCGAAAGGCTAAGGCTCGCTGCATAAATACGCATACTCGGCACCAATCCCAGAGGCTCCATATATATTACCATTATGGAATTAAGTCCCAAAACAATCCTTATTATGGCTTTAGGGACCTAATTCCATAGTGGTAGTATATATGGAGCCTCTGGGAATGACAGGATAATAATAGCAGCAGCCCAGGAGGAGGCGAGGGAGGAGGAAGTAGTAGTCGTCGTCGTACCAGCAACATGTGCTACTATTGTTGCTGTGGTAATAGGGCTAGAAGCGGAGGTACCCGGATCGGCACAGCAGCGGAAGCACTCGTCCAAGTGGTTGAATGCCAGCACAGTGCAACCATGGGAAATGATGACGGTGACGGTGACTGTAATTGAGATGGCTCGAGATTGAGACAGCACGCAGAAGAGTACGAAGAGCAGGAGAAAGGAGGCATCGCAATCCGAGTAAATCTGTGCTCTGATAATCAAATAGTGGTGCATGAAGCATAGAAGCTCAGCGAACACGCTAGTGGGTGGAGTGCACGTCGTGTGTCTGCAAGCTCGCAGGAAGCAAGGGAGCAAGGTGAGAAAGCGCAACAATCTGCTTGTTGTTGTCCATGCCGGTGACACGAGTGGTCTCAAATACCGCGTCTGCACCTCTACAAGCAAATCACCGGCTGTGATGGTCTATAACTGAAGAGCGCAGGTGCATGTGATGATGGTTAAAGATGTTCCCCCAAGCCAGAACCTTCCACGTACTATGGGGGGCGTTAATAATTAGAACAGGGTTTTGGGGCCCCCAAAATAATGTTGGTAATTATCTGGGCCCCTACATGACATCATCACGTCCTGGACGAAGCACTGGAGATGGCATCCCTACACCCCAGTACCAAAACCCGATGCTCTGAACCCCAGCGACGCTCTGAACCCCAGCGCCCAAACCCTCCGCCCTAAACATCTTGCCCCTTCCACCCCGAACATAAACAAAGCATGTGTCAAGCTGTTCAGCCAAGTGGCCAAAGCGAAATACTTCAAATACCACTCCGTAAACTCCTTCGAAGGCTTGAAGTTTGCGGTGTTCGGCTTAGGGGTCAAGGTTAAGGCTAGTGTTTTGGGTTTGTTAGGGTTTAAGGTGTGGGTTTAGGAAGAGTAGCTCAAGGAGATGGCACCAAGACTGTATGAACGAACCGCCAAACGAGCTGCAAATTCCGAACCCTTCGTGCTGCCCAACAGACCACACAATAGAGGGTTTAGGGTTTAGGCCGTTTAGGGTTTAGGCTTTACATGGGCGCCAGCGAATGTTTCGAATCATTTTGCTGAACGGCAGGGCAAGAGGTTTTGGACCGCCTTTGCTCCGACACTCGAAACCCTTCGGCCCCGAGCCCTGCAGTTTAATGGATCCCGGCCCTAAACCCTAATTAGGGGCCTTGATAAGTAGAGTAGGGTTTTGGGGTATACTATACTATCATTATGATAAAGAACCCCCCAAAATAGTATAGCTAATTATTTAGGCCGCTATATTAAACCACAAACCCCAAGCCTGAATCGTAAAGTTTCGGGCTTTGGGGGCTGGTTCACGGGCTTCCGGCAGCAAAGAGAACCCTAAACCCTAAACCCCTAAACCCCTAAACCCCTAAACCCCTAAAGCCTAAACCATAAAAACCCCCAAACACCTAAACCTCCAAGCCGTTTACCTTCACATGTCTAAAGATTTGTGGTTCAAAATCTCAAGGGTTTCGTGCTTCGGGGGTTCAGACCTGACCCTGCCTTCACCCCAACTGTAACCTACCTTCCTGGGGTTCATGATTATGATTTCTTTATGGAATTCCTTGAAAAGAATAGGACCTACCTGTTGAAGGACGGACATAAAAAAATCATACTCATGAACGCTCAAACAGGTAGGCTAGCTGGTTTGTTGTTAAGGAGAGCCACCTGAAAGTCGACCACGCCATTGCCGTCCTGGTCCAGCTCATGCCTGCTTGCAGCCGTAGGCTTTGGTGCTTTAGGGTTGGGTAGCTCGGGTTTAGGGGTCCGGGTTTGGGGTTGAGGTTGCTCTAAACCCTAAACCCCAAACCCTAAACCCTCAAGAAATAGAAATTGTTTGTTGCTGTTGGCCATCCAGAAACCTTTTTTCAGTCGAGACACAGCCTTTTCGTTTCAAATAAACCCATTTCAATTTCAGGGCTGAGCAGAAGCCGCCCCGCAGCCCAGCCCGGCCCAGGCTAGCCAGCGCAGCCACAGGCCAGCCCACCCAGCCCGAGCCCAGCCACCAGCCAGCCACAACACAGCCCAGCCCAAGCCCAGCCCAGCTCAGTCCAGCCCAGCCCCAAATTCAAGATGAGGTTTCAAAAAGAAACCTCGGTCAAAACGTTTCGCTCAAAACGTTTCGCTCAAAACTTTCGGTCAAACGTTTTCCAATGAAGTCCTCCGCCAAGTCTGGAATTAGTGCCCCCTCTGCTTGCGCACATGCGATGCGGCACTCGCGCCCTCCCTTACAGCCACGGTGCTTGAAAGCGCACTCGGGCACGCACCTGTTGACGGC